CCCCAGAACCAGAGGAAGCTTCCCAAGGGCCAGGATGTAAAAATCGAGCCTTAGAAAGCTATGACATAGATGACGTGTAAATAGTATATATTATTAAATATTGCCCATTTGCATTTGCACAGACATTTGTCTCCTGTGTCATAGGGAGAGGGGGGAGGGGAGACCTGAAGGCTGGGTGTCATGATTTCAGGGCAGCTCCCTGACAGAGCATCTCTATTAGTATCTGTCACCGCATGACACGCGCGCAGTGGCCGGGAGCATCATTATCTCAGTTTCTGTAGGGCCGGGATCCAAGAGTGACCTGGCTCAGGGCGGCTCCCAAGGCTACGGTCAAGGTGTCAGCCATGGCTGCAGTCTTCTCAGGCTCGGCGAGGGAAGAATCCGCTTTCAAACCCACTCACGTCGTGCTAGCTGGGGGCAGAGCCTTGCTCGCTGTTGGCCAGGGCGGCCCAAGCTCCCGGTTTCATCAGTGAGCGAGCGAGAGAGGGAAGTCACAGGCTTCGCACGACCTTACCTCAGAAGCAACATCCACCTATTTTGCCTTTTCTGTTCTTATAAGTGAGTCACTAGGTCCAGCCCACACGAAAAGGGAGGATGTGCATCCCGGGAGGCGGGCATCACTGGGGCCATTCAGGAGCTGCCTGCCCCCATAGTGCTGACCCAGTAGGTCTGGGAGATGCCCAGGAACGTGCATTTTAATGAGCAACTCCTGTGACCCTGACACAGGTGGGTCACCCTCACCCTGAACTGTGGGAACACGCAAGAAGACCCCACCGTGGGGCTCCCCGCCTGATGCCCAGCAGCTTCGATTTTGCTGCCAGACCCTCTGCCCTTCATTTCTAGCTTCCTGGGCCAACCATACAGTTGGGGGGGGGTGTTGGGATGGGAAGTGGGTGGTGAATTGAATCAACGTGGCAGCCTTTAGTCACCAAGCTTGTCTACACTCCAGACCTCTCATTTTCTCTTAGGAGCGTGCTTGGTTGTCAAAACACTCTCCACAGAATAGTCTTCTCCAGAAGGAAATAAAGTGGCCTAATGCACTACCATGTAAAATAGATGTGGTTTTGTTCCCACCACAAACCATACAATCCCGAGTGGGGAGGGAAGCTGTGGAGGAGGCTAACCTCCCATGTGGAGACCTTTCAGCAACATTTCTGGGAGCTGACCCGGGCGTGTGAGTCCCAGAGCCTCTGTGCTTCTTACACGTGCAGAAGGCTCGCTTGGCCCTCGAACAGGTGCCGTGACCATGGGCCATCTGCCTCAGGTTACAGACCCTCTCCCCTTCCCACTGACCCATCACTCTCCTGGACAGATGCCAGTGTCTGTCACTCTGACGGCGTGGTTCCCGTAACTGCACCAGGCCTCTGGATTGGCTGGTGGGCGCACAGAGGGATGTTACAGTACTTAATGTTATTTCAGCTTTGTGTTAGGATGTTACTTTTCCCCGAGCCACCACATTTTACCATTGGCTCACAGTGGGCTTATGATCAACTGAAACATCACACATGACCGTCAGTTTGACCAGATCTTTCTCAATTGCTACATATGAAATTTATATATACACACATACATATATATTTACGTGACCATATATATATATATATATTTTTTTTTTCAAGGTCCCACTTCTAGTGCTGCCTTGACTCATTGCTGAAGGCATTGAAGTAGCTCAAGGGGTGAGTCGCCTCCAAGTGAGCCTCCAGATGGGATAGGAGAGGATGGCTGAGGTCATGTGGGCAATGACATATATATATAATATCTACACTAATAAAAGAGAAACATGGTAATTGGCGTACGACCGCTACCCTTTTCATTGGCTAATCAGTGAGTATATGCAAATTAACTGTCAGCCAAGATGGCGGCCGGCAGCCAGGCACTGAAGCGAGCACGAGGCTTGCTTGCTGCAGACTCCAACGTTCCCCGCCTCACTTGCCAGCCTCTCAGTTGCAACTCTAAGCAACTATATACTATGTTGCAAATAAGAAGGTAAACAAAACCCCAGAAAACAGCCGGACTGAAACCCAGCCGGACCGAAACATTGTATCCATGTTTTCAGCAGCGAGGCCTCAGAGCTAAAGCTGGCCCAGAAAAAAAAAAAAAAAAGAAAA